CTTTCTACTAAAAACATTGAAAAGCTCCGATTCTTCACCAATACATTGGTAGATCTTTCTCTCTTTTATTGCTTTTGGCACCATATATCTTGTTACAGAATTTTTTCTAGAGGAGTTCAGTTTTTGTAGCTTCTCCTAACAAGTTACCAGACTGCCATACTTTGTTCAAGATGAGTCCTAAAATCGAGATGCTATCCATTCTAATACACAGAGATTCGGGCTTATCGTCTCAAGCTATCACGCTAAAAACTCGTTAGACATTTTGTGTCATACCTTTTGCATTATTTATTAAAACAGCGTAGTACAACTTAGGTGAGGCATATGATGTTGCGAGTTAATACAGGATGTGAAGAATAGATATATTATGATAAGCGTAAAAATCTCATTTGAGCACTGTCAGTTATTCAATTCGTTATGCTTGTAGTCTCTAGTATCTACTGATCTAACAAGAAGTTTCTTTGATTCCTTTGGCGACATTCAGTTGTTTTCGTACCATAGGGATCTGCTTCACACGTTCGATGCAATCGTTAATAACCATCAAATCATTGTGTTCATGTTTCTGTAGCATATTTCTTATACTTCGTTCATGATCAGCTTTGAGTTGTAGAAGTTCGTTTTGTAATTGTAAATTAAGATGGTGATAAGATTTACTGTCACAAATGTAGCTTTCTTCATGAATCATTCGGTTGAAACTGGTCAAGAATGGATCATGAGTGGAACGTTGATCAATATATACGAGGAAATGAGCGAAGCGCACGCTGGCAGAGAAAATTTCTTTGTCCCAAGCGGCCAACTCATCTATTCGATAGTTCACTCTATCGACCGACTCATAGTCAAGTTGATAATAGACTCGGAGGTGTTGCTTTGAATCACATGAACAATGTTTACATTCATTCCGATATTCGTGCAGAGAATAACAGGTGATCCAAATGCTGCTATATCGCTGGATGAGAGGCTGACACAAGTAGCATATAGCGGACGGCCGTTGGATAGGTTTGGGACGGAATTCGATAAATTTATATGAGAATCCCGACTTGTATAAAAGATGGTTTCGAAGAATGTTTCGCATTGCTTCAGTTATCGGACGAATCATCTCGAGGATTTCGAGTCGGACATATTCTGCTCGTTGTAGTCCTTGATATAGGAGATATGGACGATTGGTTTGACAAACATACTGCAGAAGTAGTTCTACTCCTTTCTTTGAGATCAACCAGCTCTTTTCACATTTCGGCTCTTGACGATCAAGCCAACGTGTTCTAGCTAAATGAAGAAAGAAGGTGCTGTCGAAGTACAATATGCTCTTGGGTTTCACATGGAGATTGCTACGAGAAGGCGATTGAAGTAGTCTTTGAACTACATCGTTTCTGTCATTATCACTCATCCAACTGGAAAGACACTTGGTGAAGCAGAAAACTAAAATTCCATGCGCTTCTTGTCCAATAAAATCGAGCAACAGTTTCAAACACTGTTGGTAACCAGCGAGTTCCGAGTCACCCGATTGTATCAGAACACAGACAGCATTCAAATGCTTTAGATTCGAGATATATGATAGTATGTGCTGCATAGTTATTTTGTCGTAAGTTTGACCGCGTGCATCAGAAAAGCCAGGAGTATCAATGATACATAACTTTTGTCCATTTCCAATATCAAATGTGTACGATTTGCAACGTAGAGTTGTAGATTGACCACGATCATGATGATAATCTTCGTTGGGGTCGTTACCGAGTTGGATGAAATGTAAACCTGCATCAGTTTTTAACGAAAAGGTAAACGGAACAACCACATGCACAGTAGATTTGCTTGATTCGACTTTTGGTAATATGTCGAATTTCAAACAGTTGGCGATTGTGTTAATTAGCGTCGATTTACCAACTCCTGATTTACCTATGAGAACAATAGTGGTCATCTGATTGGTAGAAAGCATAGCTGGTTGTGAGTCGGATTTTTTTGTTGTCGGTGTCAAAGAATCGCGCACACCAGCACCTGGATTAGAGGTCATTGAGGGAAACGTTTTTATCATGTTCAGCTCGTATGAACAGTAGGAGAAATCGACATAAACTAGATTCAAGTCAGAACCTCCTCTACTCTCGTTATCCATTTGTGTAAATATGTCTTGCAATTGTGACCAATGCGTCGCGTTTAAACTGTCATTGGAGCACAAGAAGCGTTGTCGCCGTTTATCATTAATTAGCTTGCGTTGGATCATGTCTTCATTGTCACCATGTTTGATATCATATTTGGCTGCATTCCAATAATCAAATCTTTTCTTTTTCAAATCCTTGATAAAATCCTCTTTCTCTTCCAACTCTCGTAGATCATGCTTCAAATCTTCGATGGTATGCTTCAACTTCGATTCTTCTTCTTCAATTCGTAAGTGACGTTCGATAGCATCTCGTGGCTCTGTACCTTGACGAATATGCGGAATCAAATCTCGACCTTGTTTCTTTTCCCCATCATATTGACCTATTAATTTTGAGACTCTGCTCTGCATTGCGTCAAATTGTTCCTTAAGATCAGTTTGCCAAACATTGGACGTTATGTTGTTTCGAAACGTTTTCCATAATTTTTTGACAGAGGATAATCGAAGCCAATGCTCTTCAATCCTTATTGCAATCCTCGGTTCGATTGGAATAAATTGGGCGTTCTGTTGATTTTGGTTGGAATAAAATATGTTGATAGGATGAAGAATATAGTTGCAAGGTTGTTGATCAGCAGGCTTCTTTTTGATTTTGAGAATTTCTTGGTATACCTGAAATAATGTTTTCTGTTCGGCTAAATGAGGCGTGTTCGAATACACATCTGTAGAAACAATTCGATTCAGTATATTTCCATTAACACTTAGTTCCTTCTTATTTTTCAAGCATTGGCATATTTGATCGAGGCTGTCATCTATGGTTTTCGAATCATCAAGCGGTAATCTCAATAGAACCACAACGTCGATACCCTTGTCTATTGCCGTGATGACGTGAGTAGCAGAAGTTTTACACACTCCTTGTTGAATGCTTTTCTCGTCAAGTACAGCTTGACTTCGAACCAGGTAGGAATAATAGAAGATGCGAGTGCATTCATCGATTACAAATGGATAATCAACAACTGAACCAATACCAGTCGATCCAACCAAGTTTGATAACACACTCAATCGAAGATCAGCAGGAAAATCAATGAGTCGAAGAATATTCCGATTTTCAAGCTTCGCGCCACTTTGTATCTCACATATTATCGGTGGATACAAGTAACCTTCCTTTATCTTTAAATTGATACTCGATGATTCTAAAATACGATCTCGCCATCCGTCGTAGAAATGTCCTATACGACCTTTAGGATCGATTGCCTTGCGCACAACTGTATTCACTGTTATGTCTTGACTCATGGATAGTTTAAGGCTTACATGCGAGTGTTGCGCTGGCGTGATAGAGGCACCCGGTCTTGAATTGAACAAAGCGTTATGATAAGAATTTATTAATACGCTGATACCAGGAACTGCCTGATTTCTAGACCATGCTTCCCCTTCGTAGGCAATCCAGCTGCTTACACATAGAATGAAGTCTTTGGCATAGATACAATCCAACCATTTTTTTGGCAATTTCTTGTAGCCGTAGTGAGCACCTGCCAACTGACCGTAGATAGCTGCCGTTGTGTCTGTATCATCGCCCAGATTAACTGCATTAAGTGCACCTTTTTCGAACGAGTCTCCATCACTCCAAAAAGCCCACAGAGCAGCTTCCAAAGCATTGACAATGTATCCTTTCCCTCGAATTCCATCTTGATAGCCGCCTGGTTTTTGGTACGATCCGCCAGCAATTGCCATAATGTCAGGATGAAGAGTTCGGTCGCCGAACCATTCCTGATGCTCTTCGTAAAATTTTTTACTAGTCAATTTGTTTTTATCTTCACCGTGAATGGCAGCTATGATGAGAGCTCCGTAATAACGACAAGCATCATAAACTTTGATATCACCATGGGTAATTTGGCCACTGATGCCGGAATAGTCAATGGCTACTTTCGGATGGCGGCAGCAGAAGAGTGGTACAGGTGCAAGACGCATCAAGGCTCCGTTACCAGCCACGTCCTCTTTGCTGCAATTCACATCGAATGCTTGAAGAAAATCATCATTAGATAGAGAATCCATTTCATCTAAAGGAATCTCATGCTCCTGCGCAAACTTCCTTTGACGCGTTTCAAATTCTTCGATAGATTGTCGAGTGGCCGCACCAATGTCGAAACAATTACCAGTTGATGACATGTAGCCATGTCGATACCACCACTTGTAGCGAACTAATTGGTCGTACGGAACAAAATCTTGACGAGCAATCAGCGAATTGGCTAGACAAAGTGCCATAGAGGTGTCATCAGTGAACTAGAAAAGTGAATTACTATACACTTCCTATGATTAGATTGCTTACTTGTCCTTGTTGTAGACCCCATGTCCCTCCCCCTACTAGATCTTTGACTGGATTAGCAGTCAAATAACTGTTAGGCCTGAATTCAACGTGAGCCCCAAGAGCATCGCCCACGACCAACCCAAACATTGAACCTTGGATACGATCCACTAGATCAGGATTGATTTCTTGCAACGGTGCAAAACCTTTCTCGCTGATTCCTAACTCATCGGGTTTCTTAATCGATGTTTGATCGGCATCATGAAATTGGCACTCGAGCCAACGTTTGTCTAATTAAAGAAAAACACTCGCACTTAGATTAGTCAATAAAATTCATTATATAAAATCTTTCAATGCATACTATGAAATACAAAAATACACTTTTCTAATAGTGCACGAAAAATCATCAACACTTACTCTTTTTATCTTCTTGATTAGAAGCCATTTTCAATAATGTTTCTTTCTCTACAAATAAATAATCAAAGTGAGTTCCCGAAATAAGCTGTACTCGGTGTCAGAATTCGTTTGAACCACTTCAACTTAAAGATACGGTAAAAATAAAGTTGCATGTCAATAAATAATATCTAAGCTTTTCGTAATTTTAACAATGAGTTGTAGGCTATAAAACCGATAGGAACAGAAATATTGAGCTACCTCGAGTAATATGTATTTATGGAGTATATTTACAACTTATACTTATACAAATTGATAAGTTTTAAAAAGCTTTATTCAAATGTATCATTTAATGACACTACTGATTAGTCGTACTCTTTAGATGCTTCATCCAAGGGCTATTCATTACGTTAGCGTTTATAATGAAATTTACGATTCGTACTATATCTGATATCGGTGTCACTTTCATTGTTACAAAATCAGAAAGGTTTCCTTGGGATGTACCTAAAGATGCGTGAAATTAGTTTTTTTTATTTCGGTTCCAGTAACTTTTTTATTTACCAACCCAGTCATAGTCTCGGAAAATTTAGTCAACAACTAGCACTTTTTTGGGTCACTTCTCATGAATTATGTTCTGAGTCATCCGATTTATAAGATAATTTACTTAAAACTATAGAATATTTTACTATAAACTCGAAATTCAGTGTCGTTAAATTTTTTCCTCATACTCCCGGTTCTAGTCCCAGTTACGTCTTTTTTCAAAGCAGTGCTGCCACCCCTTCTGCTTTTTGAAGTTTTTTCTGTTTTTTTCTGTCGTTTCTGCTTTTTCAAGATTTTTCTGCTTTTTTTGGTACGGCGTTATTTATTATTTCAATTAACATTTTCCAGTTGAAATACCTTTGTTTCCATAATTATTAAAAAAACCGTATCAAAAACTATTGATTTTTTTGTGCCATTCTAATTCTTTCTATTTGATACAGATGATTTTTATTTTCTACTGACTACAGACAATTACCACCTATATATTTGGCTTTAAATTAATTCTTTACCTTTGGTTTTCTACCGTATTTTAATTACTCATGTAATTCATATACATCAACATATGCATTCTTTCGTTTGTTTACTCAATGAACATGAATAATTAATATGATTAGTGAGAGGAAAGGAACAGAAAAAACAGCTCTAGATGATAGTCACAGCTCGACTAGCGAAGAAGGTATTCACAAAGTAGTGGTAGTTGCTGAAGTAATAATTATGTCATCAGGAGTTAAACCTGAAAACAGAAATTGTATAGCGTTATCTTCAACAGAGAATAGTTCAAAGTCGTCGAATATTAATGATCTTTAAAAGAATATAAATTTGATCCGTCTCAACTAACATTTATCGTTCGTCATCAACAGTTTTCCAGACATTGCTAATAAAAAGCTAATATTGATAATCCTATGAACAATAAGAAACAAAAAGATTTTAAACGCTATGATTTAATCAACAATTATTTTGAATTTCTCCTTATCATATACTGTAATGGATAAATATTTATTAGGTAAAAAGGATTCGCCAAAAGCTCTTAAATCAGATGAAGAATACTCTTTAAAAAGAAAACGTGTTCAATGATTCTGCCTATTTGTTAATGGAATCCATGAATGATACTCCCCAGACATTTGCTCCCGCGACAGTTGCTCCCCAGACACTTGCTCCCCAGCGACACTTGCTCTCCAGACATTTTCTCCCGCGACAGTTGGTCCCCAGGGACACATGCTCCCCAAAGACACTTGCTTCCCAGATACTTGCTCCCCAGAGACATTTGCTCCCCGAATACTTGCTCCTCAATTACACTCGCTCCCCAGTTATACTTGCTCTCCAGTGTTACTTGGCCTTGAGCTATGCCTCTTTTGTTGACAAATATAAAACAATTTTTAAAGACTTAAAAATTGGTAAAAATATGAACCGGCTGAGATAATTGGAAATCCGTGCAGGATTTAAAATCACTGGGTAATTCATAAATTAATTGTAAGCTTATAGCTATTTTTACTACATTTTACAAAAATTTCAAAAAGTGGTGCTATAGATATATCCATCAATAAAGGATATAAAACAGAAAGTAGAAAAATACTGTAGATTACCAGCAGAACCACCATCAAAATAAAATAGGGTGTGGATGGGTGTGAGTGTGGATGTGGGTCTGGCTCTGGCTCTGGATGGGTGTGGATACAGTGAAGGCGCACACCCTACCCACACCCGTACACACACACCCCAAATCCCATCCACACCCAACTTCCACCCCACCCACACCCACATCCACACACACACCCACCCACACCCACATCCACACACACACCCACCCACGCCCACATCCACACACACACCCACCCACACCCATATCCACACACCCACCCACCCACACCCACATCCACACACACACCCACCCACACCCACACCCTCAAGCGTCATTGGGGAGCAAGTGTGATTGGGGAGCAAATGTAGTTGGGGAGCAAGTGTCCCGGGAGCAAATGTTTGGGGAGCAAGTGTCGCTGGGGAGCAAGTGTCGCTGGGGAGCAAGTGTCGCTGGGGAGCAAGTG